CCTCTGGACGGGTTCTTCTCTAATGAAACGTTTCGTCTCTCCTCCAAGAGACTTCTTCAGTCTGAGAGTTTCAGGCAAAATTCAGGCTTTTGTGATGTCACTATGTGACGATGTGATGTTTTGTCACATCACAAAAGCCTGAATTTTGCCTGAAACTCTCAGACTGAAGAAGTCTCTTGGAGGAGAGACGAAACGTTTCATTAGAGAAGAACCCGTCCAGAGGACCTATACAATTTTTTTTTCATTTTGATTTATACAGAAACTTCTGAGTTAGTGTGACATGAGAAATGTGACCTCTGACCTACCAGCTGTTCACTCACAATGAAAAACTTCCATTTATCTACAAATACAACACACACACACACACACACCTCAGTCTGAAGGCTAAGTTATGAAAATGTTCAGAGTTAGCTGCTGTTTAAAAGCTGTAGTTTGTCATCTTTGCCACCAGTGGGCGCTATAAACCACCCTTCATTTGTCCTTTCAGCCACGGTCTCACGTCTTCCCCTCCACAACACCGTTTCCACCACTAAAACCTGTAACCACTTCCTGTTCACAAGAGAACATTTTGAGCTGAATCTGTAGACCGTCCACTCTGCATTCAAAGCGATTTTTGAGGGAAAATCAAATTCTGTAGCAGTGAGAGACACAGAGTAAAACGATAAAAAAAAAAACACTTCTAGAACTTTAAAAACACTGGCTTGATAAAAGTTTTCGGAATTTTTTCTATTTTGATTCTTCACAGCCTGTAATTTAATAGGATTTCTGATTTGATTTAAAAACATTAATTTTACTAAATAAAATTGACGTTTTTGAAGTTTAAGTGATGAAAAACAGTAGGTTTAAATATTTCTAAAGAAACAAAACGATAATCTAAAACGTTGCGTGTTCAGTATTCATATGTCTCCCTTCTAACCTGGACTTGATGACCTGTCCCAGTCCTCTGACATGAACTAAATACAATAGTCCTAAATCAAAAAGTGTAACAGTTTGTATACAAGAGACTTGGATGAAACGGTTTGTTTTAAAGGTACATTCCGCAATTAAAAGAAATGAGTCACAACTTTTATACAAAATGGAATAAATCACAAGATGAAGTCAGGATTAGGGACTGTTCGTAGGTAAGATCAACTTTTATAATCTGAAAAATGAAACCAACGTGATGATTTCAGGGCATCACAGGAGGGAAATGTAAAAAGATGAGGTTTTAATTGTCAGAAGGTTACATGAGGAAGCAAATGGTGAAGTAGTTCAGGGAAATAACACGATATAAAATACAGAAGCAGTAATCTGAATTGTATCCAACACTTCAGCGTCAGCATTTTACAAATACGAAGTGACCGCTGCACTACAGTGACTCAAACTGGTGTAAAGTTATGACAAAATAAAAATAAATGGAAATGGGGAGAAACTAACATGTGGAAAAAACAAATACAATAAAATATGGGCAAATCCAGGAAAAATACATGATTTATACATTGAATGAAAGGTTAATCTGCAAAAGAAACTACGTAAAACCACTGCAAATAAAGAGAAAATATTAATAAATGTTAGCAGAGATGATCAGGAGAATGAGATAAAGAATTATCAGAGAGAAGATGGCTACAAGCAATCTGGAGAAATCTCAATTTTTTGTACAAAAATGTAAGAAACAGTTCAGGCAGGCTTATCTGATGAGGCAAGACGTTCAGGAATATAGTACAATCTAAGCACTGCAGATCATATAAATCTACCTTTTACTATGTGAATGTCATTAAATGTGTGCAACATGACAGATCAAAGAATGGAAGCTGTTTTAAAAATGTACATTTGGGTATAGAAACAACCAGGATTATAAACTCGTCACACTGACTTCTCTGTAAAATTCTGAACAGAGAAACTAAGAAGTCTTAAAAAGTAGAGGCCTTTTGTCTCCATATCAAAGTGGGTTCAGAAAGATCCACAGAACTGGACCCTGTCCTCTGGAAAATACAGGCTAACAAGGAGGTAGTGATCTCTGTAGTTTATATACAGAAAGTTTATGATGTGCAATGGAAAGAAGAGTTAGCCTGCATAAGTTAAAATCACCAGATGAGCAGTGATGAGGAATTCAAGCAGAATATAGAGATAATTGAACCCCGCAGGATATTCAGTGTTATTGTTTCATATAATGATAGAATATACAGAATGGAACAATCTGGTCTCAACAATGTAGTCTATACAAAATATGCAAAAACAAAAAGCTGCAAGAAACTTTTACTGCAATAAATGTAGCATTTTAAAGCGATAATCTTTTTCAGTCAATAAAGGTAAACATTATTTGGTGTTCTGGGGAATAAAGAAACCAACATATAAATAATATTTTCAAAAGAAATTCGGACTTGTTTAGTTTTTCATTGTACTTCCTCCGGTAAATCACCCTCCGGCCCAGTTGGTGGCGGTGATGCGCCTCAAATGCAAACTGCTGATGAAAAGAAGAAGAAGAAGAAACAAAAACAAAAGAAGAAGAAATAAAACCAAAAGAAGAAGGCTACATGAGCTAACCACGTTCATGCAGAGTCTGGGATCAGTCAGAGAGATGCAGGATAACGAGATCAGCTTTGTCCAACAGGTTCTCAGCTTGAATCTGTTACCGAGACACAACGTGACGTCTCTCAGCGACTTTTCAGGTGAGCTAACAACAAGCTGCTGTGCTGTGTTTCAGGTTAACACTGCCCGGATCAGGGTATAGTTATAAAACTCTAGCGGGGTCTTTAGTTTGATTGTAACGGTCGTAGTGTTTGTTAAAGCTGCTAGTTGGTTTTTCTTGTCTTGTTCTCTTTAATGTTTGGGAACCTTGAAGCTAGCTAAGCTAAGCTAACTTCCAGCTAACACAGTCTCAGGAGTTTGTTTTGGTTTTTTTTGCTTCTCGAGCGTTAGGATAACTGAGATCGACGTGACCCTCAACTCAAAGCCAGAATAGCTTTTGAATTATGTGAAAGCATTCATTGTTTTATTA